TTAATTTGTTATAAGATTTAAAGATATATAAACCTGGAACCAAAGCAGAGGTTTCTATGAATTCTCCCAAGTATTGGCTTAGTTTATTAACTTTGGCCATATGAAAGTCTTTTCCTTTCCTCCCTATAGTCAGGAGAATATTCAGCCTGCTCTTCTTTGACTCAATTTTTTGATTAGTCCTCACAAAGCTTTGTATTTCAAGTTGTGACAAATTTAACTTTCTGACTTTCCTCTCTATCTACTTAAAAAAATCTGGTCATGCCCAGGTGTGGAGGCTCACACCTGTAACCTCAGCACTTTGGGAGACCAAGGCAAGAAAATTGCTTGAGGCCAGGAGTTTGAGACCAGCCTGGGAAATAAAGCGAGACTCTGTCTCTTAAAAAAAAAAAAAAAACTCTCTTAAAATGAGCTGGGTGTCTTGGCAGTGGTTGTAGTCTCAGCTACTCGGGACACTGAGGTGGTAGGATCGCTTGAGTCCAGGAGTTCGAGGCTGCAGTGAGCTACGATCACACCACTGCACACCATCTGAAGTGACAGAGCAAGACTCTGTCTCAAAACAAGCAAAAAAATAAACAATAGAGTCTTTCTCTGATGTTTGGCATGAGCAAGATGTGGCATTTACCTCCACACTCAACTGTATTTCCTTAGGCACTAAACTTTGGCTTGTTCCAGTACTGCCTTAGTTTCCCCTAGATCTTCCAAAATTGAAGTTTTTGTCTGTGTTGAAATATGGGACTCATGCTGAAAAGACTAAAGCCAAAATGTGCAATGTAGATATTAGGAAGACGGCTACTTCTTCACCAAATTGATTTCCTCTTTTTCACTGGCACTTGGCCAAACAGTACTTCACAACCTATCTTTCAGTTAGGTGCAGTTCCTGGACATATTCTAGACAATAGTTAATGAACAGAAGTGATGTGTGCCACTTCCAAGACTGGCTCACAAATTTCTCCAATGAATTTCCTCCATGTTTCTCTCCCTTTCTGTGGCCTGGGATATAAATAAACCCTACCACTTCCCCACAGGGAAACCTTGGACACCACACATTGAAGATGAGTCCTGAAAAGATGGCTTGGAAACAATGATCAGAGTGAAGAGACAAACCACAGATGACTGTGAGAAAATACTGGCAAACCATATATCTGATGAGGGGCCAATATCCAAAACGTATAAGGAACTCAATTCAATAGCAGTAAAACAAACAACATGAGTAAAAACTGGAAAAAAGGACCAGAACAGATATTTCTACAAAGAAGACATATGAATGGCCAGCAGATTTATGAAGAAATGCTCAACATCTCTAATCACCAGGGAAATGCAAATTAAAACCACAACGAGACATCACCTCACACCTATTAGAATGGCTATTATCAAAAACATGAAAGATAAGTGTTGGCAATGATGTGGATAAAAGGGAACCATTGTACATTGTTGGCAAGAATGTGAATTAGTATAGCATTTTGGAAAACAGTATAAAGATTCTTCAAAAAATTAAAAACACAATTACCATATGATCCAGCAATCCAATTTTTGGGTATCTATCCCTTAGTGGATGAATAGATGCAGGAAATATGGCTTATATATACACAATGGAACACTAGATAGCCTTTTAAATAAAAGGGAAATTCTGTCATTTTCAACAATGTGGATGAACCTGGAGGACATTATGCTCTGCGAAATAAGCCAGGCACAGAAAGACAAATACTGCATGTTCTCACTTACATGTGGAATCTAAAACTATTGAACTCACTGAAGCAGAGAGTAGAATGGTGGTTACCAGGGGCTGGTGGTGGGGTAACAGTGAGATGTTGGTCAAAGGGTACAAACTTTCAGTTAGAAGAAAGTTTCACTGATCTAGTGCACAGCATGGAGACCATAGTTAATAATAATGCATGGTGTATTTCAAAATTGCTACAAGAGTAGCTGATATGTTAATTGGCTTGATTTATTCTTTCTCCAATGTATAAATATATCAGGACATCACCTTGTACCCCATAAATATATACTGTTATTGGTTCTCATTTTTTTTTTTTTTTTAAAAAAGATTGCTTGGAGCAGAGAACCCCTTCCATCCAATCCTAATAACCAGGTACCACATCTTAGATTGCTAGCAAGAAGACAACTTCTATTAAGCCAGAACATTATTCATTTTTATTTTATTGGTTACAGCAGTTTGGCATCTTCAAACTAATTTGGCAATTCTAACTATCCTGACCCAACAAGAGAGTTCCAGAAAATGCTGGCCACCTGGGAGGGCCTCTACATTAACAAGGGATCCTCTATTCTGCAGGATATATTGGATATAACTCCAAGACACAGGTGGAGTGTCAAACCTATTTCTTATGAAGGCATAGTTTACATTTGCATAAGGCTTCAAATTCTTTTATCTCTCACAGTAAATTCATATTAGGAAATTTTGATTTAAGAAGTCATTCTTTCACCTTTTAAGTATTTACACATATTGGGACTAGTAAAACACTGGTAAAATATTAAATATTCTGAGAATGGTCCCCACAAAGTTTATGGGAAATGAATATATATCCATATATATTCATATATATGTGTGTATATCTACACATATATACATATGTGAATACATATTCATTTATATATGTATATATGCATGTATACAAATCAATATATATTATAAATATACAGATATCTTATAAATATACCTATAGCCATATGTATATATGCTATATATAAACAAAGTATATATACTTACAATGATACACATATTCACTTATATATGTATGTATACGTGATATATTATGTACAATATACACATACATATGTATATATTACCTATATACATATATACTATATACATTATAATATATAATGTATATATGTACACATATACATAAAAGAATATATGTATATTTGTAAGTGTATATATATTAGAAATATACATATTTAAAACTGCAGTAAGGGTATTACCCACTGTCCAGGTCTCTGCATTTCAGTAAAATCAAAACACAGCAGAAAAAGGCTCAGAGAAGAAGAACAGGATGATTAAAAGTCCAGGGCCGTTGCTGTATGCAGACAGCCTTAGAGGATTAGTATGATTCCATCTGCAAACACTGAAGCTGACAGGGGATATGATTGAAGTCTATAAAACTCATAAAATGTAGGGCTGTGATGAACACAAACATGTTCACCAAATCCCAGTTTACCATGACAACAGTCTTTCCCTTATATCTTGAAAGAGGGAAATTTAGAACAAACAGAGAAAGGATAAGTTAACAAAACAGAGCAGGTAGCAATGGCCAGATTGGCAGAAATCATAACCTTGAAAACCAGAGGCAGACTGCAAATATAAATAACTTCAACTAAGTACTAGAAAAATCCACACATGACAGTTCCATTAAGGGAGCTAAAATGATGCCTAAAAATTTAAAGAGGCTAAAAGTGATTGACCAAAAATGAATGACTTAGAATTAGGAATCTTTCTAGATTTAGAGTCTTCATAACAACAGCATTGCACACACATCCTCACCAGCTGTGCACCTTTGGAAATTGCCCCTGCATTGCTTCCTCTGGTTTGCTACAAAATATTGCTTCTGGCAAATTTATCTCATGTCAGACAAAGTGCTGTTTTTATGGAATTGCCCATGGAGAGAAGCCCATCATGGATTCTGAGCAACATGGAGAAGCCCTGGCACACCACTAAATTTAGATAGAATTGAGCCATACACTAAAACTCTTAAATGACCTCACTTTTCAAATCTCCTCCAGGCATGAAATAGACCCACTAGTGTAAGATGTAGTATGGGCATTTTCGGAGGGAATAGGAGATATTCTACTCTTCCAAGAGCAGGCATATGAATCACAATGAAGTCATTGATTAAATCCCTGGATGCTTGCAGATTAAATTTAGTTACTTTTTTAAACCTTGCCTTCTGGATGATTTCACTCTAAAGCAAGTAGCACGGCTTCTGGTTACTGCCAGCCCAAGACTTTCTGCTTTTCTAGGAACTGTTTCAATTGGAAAAGGGCACTTAGTCTTTGGAAACAATCCCATTTCGAAATAGCAATGACCATACTCAACTGATTAAAAATTAGTATGTACTGTGCTTGAATGCTATACCACACAATTTCTCAAAAAATGCTGAACTTCTAGGATTCTTCTCTTCAGTATTCCTTACCACACAAAATATGTATTTTGCATTAATTCCTAAATTATAGATCATGACTAATCTGTATCTAATCAATAACTAGATGTTTGTTAAGTATTTACTGGTTCTCTTTGGACTTACAAGGAAAACACTTTTTGCAGTTATTTTTTCTTAAGATAGTGGATAAACACTACCCAGCTGGAAATGTACTGCCTGGAAGTAGCTTCTGATGCATGTCTGCATGTCCACATGGTACTCAATTTCAGGGCACCAATATCTTTAGTGGGTATGGTGCTCTACCGGGTTATTGTTACCTTCTTCCTTCTGTAGGCACTTTCTAATAAAAGCATGAAATTAAGTACTCCTTGTGATTTACCAGTTAAAAATTTGCAAATCCCTGCTGGCCAAACATGTTATAGTTTAATTGTGGAGGTACAAATAGACATCTTCCTAGTAAAATGTTCTTTAATCACCCAAAGGGCAACCCTTTATAACCATTATCATGTCAACCTTATAACTAACCCTAAATCCCCTACCTGGACTGACAGTCTAACTAGGACCACAAGGAACAGAATAATGTAGTTCCCAAAGAATTGACCAAAGGAGGAGGAAATATTTTAAATAAGCCGTGCACAAAAACTCTACTACATAAAGTTCATAGTCTTTTTGTTTGCAAGACTGAGGCAATAGTCATTTTGTCCCATAAACACAATATTAGTAAGGGCTGGAAAATTATGGAGGAATCAATAGTATAGAGGTCATTTTTTTTCCAATAGCTAAAAAGAATGTGTGTGTGTGTGTGTGTGTGTGTGTGTTAGGTAAGTAGAATCCAGATAGAAAGAGTAATTCAAAATACAGGAACCTCCATCACAGGACACTCACCATTTGTTGTACCTTCATGTCCTCTTGAAAATCAGCCACTCATAATGCATGCTCCAAAACTGCATAAGGAAAGATGAAACACAAGCAAGCATTGGTCTTTTAAGGGCAATACGAGAGCCAGGAGCTGAGGCAGTATGGCCAAGATCATAGGCTCTTACTATGACAACACGTAATTCAGAGGCCCCCTGTGAAGGGAGATGTCATAGGCAACTGTTGGAAATTTAATTGGTGTCTGGGACTTTATCAGTGACAGCTCATTATTTGTGTTACCCAGAGAAGAGGAGGAAAAACACGCTAACCAGCATCCTTTCAAAAGAAAGTCTCAAAGACCCAACTGCAGCTTATATTCAAACAGCATTTTTTAGAGGTGACACCAGACATTGACACCTGACATGTTAGAAACAAACTCAGGCTGGGTGTGGTGGCTCATGCCCATAATCCCAGCACTTTGGGAGGCCGAGGTGGGTGGATTACCTGAGGTCAGGGGTTCGAGACCAGCCTGGCCAACATGGTGAAACCCCATCTCTACTAAAAATACAAAAATCAGATGGGTGTCGTGGTAGGCACCTGTAATCCCAGCTATTCGAGAGGCTGAGGCATGAGAATCGCTTGAACCCGGGAGGGGGAGGTTGCAGTGAGCTGAGATAGTGCCACTGCATTCCAGCCTGTGTGACAGAATGAGATTCTGTCTCAAAAAAAAAAAAAAAAAAAAAAAAAAAAAATGAAAGAGAAGAAAAGAAAGAAACAAACCCAGGCTTAAGGCTGAGCGACAAAAACAGCTGCTTGTATTGCAACTGCACACCCAAAGCCTCTTGCCTCTATGAAACTTGAGCATTTTCATTTAGAACTTTTGAATTACAGTTTCTGGCTTTATGGCATGTTTCTTCTGGGCCACTTCCAAATGGACCCTCTGGCATGGTTATATCCTATGATACAGAGATGTTCAGTTTAAAAATAATTACCTAAATCATCTCTGCCACTTTGATTTAGTATGAGGGGTGGTTGATTTTGTTTTCTTGCTCACTGTGAACATTTTACTCATGGTAACATTACTTTGACTTTTAAATTGAACTCATAGATAACAAAATGCAAATTTAGAGTACATAGTTTTGGGGTTTTGTTTCTGACACCTGTGTGGAAACAAATTTGACAATGTAACTTTTCCTGAGTTGAACCAACAACGAAAATTTAGTGTTTGCTTGAGATAAGAGAATAGAAGAACTGAATGTTTTGGGAATCTTCTGAATCTAGTTTGAGAACATTGTACTGTCAGTAGTTTCCATACTCACCCACTAGGAGGAAGACTCGAACATGTTATGCAACCAAATCAGTGAAACAACTTCTTGTCTTCATTCAGCTTGGCTTAATGACTTCATCTTGAGATGTTTCCTAATTTCTTAAAAATAGTTTCTTACAGGGAACAAAAAGAAAAATAGGTAATTTAAACTACTTCAAAAGTAAAAACATCTGTGCATCAAAGAACATAATTAACACAGTGAAAAAGCAACCTATGTATGAATAGGAGAAAAGAATTGCAAATCAGATATCTGATAAGGGGTTACTCTCCAGGATACTAAAAAACAAAACAACAACAACAAAAAACCTCTTGCAATTTAACCACAGCAACAACAAAATACTCTGATTTTAAAATGCACAAAGGCCTGGAATAGACATTTCTCCAAAGATGACATGAAAATGGCCAACAAGCTTAGGGGAAGATAGTCAACATCACCAGTCATTAGGGAAATCCAGATCAAAACCACAATGAGATATCACCTTATACCCATTAGAATGGCTACTGTTTAAAACAAACAAACAACAGAAAATAAGTGTTGGGAAGGATGTGGAAATATTGGAACCCTTCTGCACAGCTGGTGGGAATGTAAAACCCTTCTGCACTGTTGGTGGGAATGGTGTAGTTGCTATTGTTTAATGGAAGTTCCCCCAAAAGTTAAAAGTTGAATTATCATATGATCCAGCAATTCCATATCTGGGTATGTGTTCAACAGAACTGAAATCAGAGTCCTGAAGAAGTATCAGTGTTCCCATGTTCATAGCAGCATTGTTCACAGCAGTCAAGAAGTGGAAACAACTCAAGTATTCATTGACAGATGAATGGATAAAGAAAATATGATGTATACACACAAATAAATATTATTCACACTTAAAAAGGAAGGAAATTCTGATACATGCTACTACATGGATGAACCTTGAGGACATTATGCTCAATGAAATGAACCAGTCACAAAAAGACAACTACGTCATGATTCAATTTACATGAGATATCTAGAGTCATCAAATTCATAAAAACAGAAAACAGAATGGTAGCGGCCAGGGGTTGTGAAAAGAGATTGGATAATTATTGATTCGGGTAAAGAATTTCAGTTTTGTAACACGAAAAAGTTGTAGAGATTGGTTGCACAACGATATGCCTACACTTAACACTACTGAACTGTTAAGATGGAAAATTTTATATGTATTTTACCACAAATAAAACTGTTTAAATTTAAAAATAGTTTCAACCTAGCACAGTGGCTTATGCCTGCTATCCCAGTACTTTGTGAGGCTGAGGCAGGAGGATTGCTTGAGGCCAAGAGTTCGAGACTAACCTGGACAAGATGGCAAGATCCCTGACTCTATAAAAATTTTAAAAATTAGCAAAGTATGGTGGCACATGCCTGTGATCCCAGCTACTCAGGAGGCTGTGGTGGGAGGATCCCTTGAGCTTGGGAAGTCAAGAGCTGTGATCGTGTCACTATACTCCAGCCTGGGTAACAGAGCAAGAGCCTGTCTCAAAAAAAGAAAAAACAAAATCGAACATCAAGAGATTTGCCCTTTTTTTCCCTTTCAATCAAAAACTTCCAAGCCACATGTAGAATGTCATGTGTATCTTCCTAAAACTAAATTGGGCCACTTTAATCAAACCTAATGATTGAACAGTTCAAAAAACTGCCGTATTTTTTGAAAGATTTTCAAGCCAGTCAGAAATGTTGGGAGTTGATATTACATTCTTAAAGCTACCTTTATCATTCCTTCTTTTGAACACCATGCATAGACTTCGTGTAATGTTTAGCTTCAGAATACCAAAGTGCCATTTATAAACTGTGGTTGTTAGCCCACAAGCCTTCAGTTAAAATGAGCATTAAAGTTTTATGTTTTCTAAGCTCTTTTAATTGATGATACAAATGAATGGGGGAGGGGTGGTGGTCAAGTGTGTGTTATCTGTCTGAGGCTTAAATAAATGTTTCAGTTTCAGAAAGCTAACATTTTTAAAGATGCCTTGTAAAATAACGTTATTTGGTATCATCAACAAATACTGGTCAGTCAATCTTAGGTATCTTGGTAGCTACCAATAAACAAACAAAAAAATACATCCTATTTTTTGTCTTCATACACATATACAAAATTAACCCTGGGAAATAAAATAGCAAGAAATTCCACATGCTTATGTCAGAATATGTAAGTGTCATAGCACAAAATATAAATGCTATCATATCTAACCCAGTACCTCTTTTCTAAGAGGTGGATTCAGGAAGAGCTTACTGGAGTGTCCAGGACCCCAAACATGTGGTGGAGCAAGAATGTTGGGGCTAAAAAACAAGCTGGCCTGGCGAAGGTCACTAAGTGTGCAGGTGAGACACATAGACACTGGAACCAACTGATATTGCCAGGTTAAGTGCCATTGCTGGAGTGAAGGAGACAGCAATAGCAAGCTTACAGGACGTGGTAAGTTCTTTCTCACCTCCTCCTGTCTCCCAATATCTTCTAGGTCCCCCTATTGTTAGCACTAAATAGAGAGTCAACTGACAAAGGAGAAAGACATTTGCCCCATTATCACCATGGAGAATATAGATGGTGGATTTGGAACTGAGAGATAAATGCTTAATAACTAGCACAGGAACCCTCTTAAATTTCTTTACAATCAATTCTCAATGGGTATTATACGCTCTGCACTCCACAAAACGATTCCTTGCTGACTGGCATACAGAAGTGCCTAGCTTTGGTTCATCCTGAAAGTCCAAAGAATAAACCTCCACACTGAGAAACAGCAAAGTAGGAATCTGTGAAACTCTTGCCTGAGTTTCCTGCCTGTCATCTTATCCTATGGAATTCAGACGTGCCAGACCCCACAATTACATGAATCAAGTCATTAAAGTAAATTTTTCTCTTTCTCACTCTCTTTCAATAGATTAGATAGATATAAATAGATAGATTAGATAGATAGATAGATAGATAGATAGATAGAGTGAGTGAGCTATCGTTTGAATGCTTGTGTTCCTTCAAAACTTATGTTGAAACAACACTATTCCAATGCAATAGTATTAAGAGGTGGGGCATTTAGAAGGTGATTAGGTCATGAGCACTCATGAGGGATTAAAGGCTTTATAAAAGAGACTTCACACAGCATTTGACACTATTGTCCTTGTATCCCTTCCACCATGTGAAGACACAGTGTTTGTCCCTTCCAGAGAGTGCAGCAACAGGATACCGCTTTGGAAGCAAATAGCAGCCTTCACACAACACCAAACCTTCTAGAACCTTGATCTCGGACTTCCGAGCCTCCAGAACTGTGAGAAAAAAATCTATTGTTTATAATTATATATGGTATTCTGTAATAGCAGTACAAATGGACTAAGATATATAGATGATATATGATAGATAGATAGATAGATAGATAGATAGATAGATAGATAGATAGAAAGATAGAGTTCTTTGGCATATCCTATTGTTTGAAGAACCCCAATTAACACAGTTCTTTACCTATGCAGGAAATCAAGGGTCAGGAAGTAGAAACCTCAGCTGCAGAGACAATAGTGGCAACATCTTATGTCATACTCTCCCTGGGAGAGATAATGCTGCTTTTTCTCCCTGATAATTATTTTTTCTTGGTAAGGATTGAGCGGAAAAATTATTTCTCAATGTTGCTTGAATCCAGTGATCCCACAGAACTGGAATCATGTCAGTCTCCTTCTTTCCATCATTGCCATTGCCCTTTAAATATTGAGGGAGTGTTCTATCTGGTTATCGATGATGTATCTTGCTGCATAATTCATTCTGGAGACTGGTAACACTGTGGCCACTTCTCTTCTTGAGATGCCTAAGCCTGGAGAAGTGTCAACATACATGTGAGGACTTCCCATCAGACTTTGCACATCCTTTCCCAAGCGAGACTCATAAATAAACATAAGCAGTAGCCAAAATGTGGTTAGCCAGCAGGGAAGTGCTCACGAATAATAGCTTTATTGTGGAGTGCAGCAGACCATAAACACAGAATGCCTGTGGGCAGCCTAATGAAACATGAAGTAATTGTAAGATGGAGTAAATGCATTTCCTTCATCTACCCTTACTTGTAGGATAGATTAAATAGCTTTTCTTAAAACAAAAACGATATATTTTCTTATTTAGGAAACTCAGTTTCAGTTCCCTATGTGAATAGTAATTAAAACCAATGTCCATAAAGGAGATACCACAGTAGATCTGGACATTTAAAAACAGAATAACTAGTTTGGAGCATAATCTTTGGGGTTTTGTCTCTTCAAATATGCTTTCTGTTGACAAAGGTGAATAGCTTCCAGTTTATTCACTGAAACCACTTCTTTACATCTCATTTGCCCTTATTCTCTCTTATTTTTGTGGGAATTATCACACCCAGACCTTCAAAATTTCTCACTTGACTTCTCAGTCATTGCTGTGGAGTTTTGCAGGTATTTCTTGGTACCTATATTATTAGCTAGGACACTAGAAAGTGTCAAGGGATCCAGACATCTCTCTACAGACCTTGTAGATAAACATCATTCAGATCACCTAGATCTTTCCCTCCCAAAGGATCATGGTATACAGGAGGTAAAATATGTTGTGCAAACATCCTGCTAAGAAGAATAGTGATAGATTTTGGGAGAAATATTTCCTGGCTTTTTAAATGCATTTTGCATAGTGGGATTCAAAATATTGTACTACAGAATTCTGTGAGCAAAGCAAAGTCCTCTGGAATGTCATGGAATTTATATATTCTATATATAAAAATATATATATATTCTGCAAATATATAGATAATGTTAGCTTTTATGGAAATAGTATAACTAGGCTTGCAGTCATTTCTATTTCCATCTTTATGTTAAGAGAAAATTATTATTTAAAGGTAGATTCCAATCACAGGGTATCTTGTAAGCATACCTATTGGCATGTTCTATCAGAAATGACCCTAATAAACATATTATTTTATTCTACAAAGTCTTTTCATGTATGAAGAGGCAGAAGACAAGGCATAAAGTACTGTAATTTTAAAGCATCTTTATAATTACCTGAGTTCTTCTTCCCTCCCCATCTCTTCCCTGCCATCCTTTCCTATTTCTTTTTGCTTAGCTTCAGGTTTTTGCTTAAAACAATATAATGCAAAAGATATAACTCTCACC